GATAGATAGATAGATAGATAGATAGATAGATAGATAGATAGATAGATAGATAGATAGATAGATAGATAGATAGATAGATAGATGATAGACAGACAGACAGACAGACAGTATAATGATTACAGAAAGAAATAGTATTAAAACACTTAAGTAAATAAAATAAACAAATGGACATGCTTTCATGCATGTATGCTTCTATACATAATGGCTGTGGCAGCCGAAATCACTTACAGAGTATAATCAGTGGTGGGATTCAGCCAGTTCGCATCACCACTTCGGGAGAACCAGTTGTTAATTTTCTGAGCAGTTTGGTGGTAAACTGGTTGTTGCAATAAATCATTAGAGCAGAGAACGGTTGTTAATCTGAATCCCACCACTGAGTATAATGATACCATTGACTGAGACATCCGTCTAGAAGCCTTCTAGAGGAATCATGAATACAAAAAGGGGGGCAGGAGAACATTACTGCTCACCTCCCATCAAACCTGTGCTTCAGGAAGTCAAACAGGGCTTTCTGCATCATGTCTGTCACCTTGCAGAGATAAAAAAAATATGAAGTAATAAGATCAACAACAGAGAAAAAGAAGTCCCAAGTAAAAGAAAAAAGTGGAAAAGTTAAGGCATTGCAGATTCTCAAAGTTCTATACACGGATTGCGATGCCTTTAGCGAGTTAGCTCTCCTTTGACACACATTTTCTAGGTAGACTAGAAATAACTAAACATTCTGCAACAGATCCAGGAAGTTTTCTGACATGCCTCGGCACTTGCAAATGAGAACACAAATTGGTCTGCTTTTTATACACAACAACTCTCCGGGCTTTCCAGAATATGTTGGCAATCCTCAATTCCAGTTTATGCCTGCCAGAAACTGTCAGAAATGATTCCTCTTTGCTGGCTTATGCTGCAGGTTGTTCCCTGACTGGGATCTAAACTATAGAGTTGGAAGGGGAAAATAAAGCCAAATCTTACTTAACTAAATCCTTAAATGCACCCACACAGGGTAGAAGGGCAGGATAGAAATGAAAGAAATCCGAAGTTTGTCTTGTTCCTTTTGCAGGATGCATTTTTCTGTTCTCCAAATCCCCAAGAAATTGAGAACTTTTTAATTTTTTTGTACTGAAATATTTAGGCATTAAATCTGAATATGTGAAACCACCACCATGGCTGGATTTGCACACCCAACTGAACCATCACCAAACAAACCACATGGTTTAGTCTTGTGTGCATCAATCCAGCTATTGTGTCTGGACTTAACCAAGTCATATTAATTATGATTTAGCAAAACAGACCAACTTTAATCCATGTTTCATGATCCCAGTTTATATCCATAAACCAGGAATTGGTGTGTGTGTCTGTGTGTATGTATGTAAAAATAATTTTGGGTAGGAGAAATATTCAGGTGTTCACATCACCACAGTAAGGTGAGATCAGAGCTAGAAGTGAACATAACCAAAATTTATTACTTCTCTTTCTAACGTTCGCTTCTCTCTCCCTTTATCTCTCATCCCAATGAAAACATAAATGCACACAGTTATTCAGAAGTAATCAAGGTGCATCAATCATGGAGGCAATCCATCAGACTTGTGTATGTGTGTGCGTGTGTGTGTATGTAAATCATGGTTTAGCAGCAGATCCAAAACACACCAGTCTGCATGGAAGAAAGGAAAGAGAAATAGATAGCTGCCACAATGGATGGGCTCAATTACAAAACACTTCATCCAAAAGTGCATAGGTGTCTTCTGTGCCCCAAGTTCAGGAGTGAGAAACTATGATCTTTTTAACCCCTTGTGGACTTCAACTCCCAGAATTCCTGAGCCAGCCATGCTCAGGAATTCTGGGAGTTGAAGTCCACAAGTCATAAAGAGGCCATAATTCCCCACCTCTGACCTGGAAGTTTTTCAATCACCATCCAAGTTCCTTTGTTTTTCCTGGGTAAATAGACACACTGTGAACAAAATATGGGGTTGTAGTCTCCCACCATTTTTTTACACCTATCGGACCCACTGCAGTGTCACTGGAAACAAAAATGATTATAAAGGCTAATATAGTTGGCTCTATAGCAAGTCAACTCCTTTTAAGTTTTTGTTTAAAATTAAAAATAACACTCCAGAAATGAAATGGTAGACTGAAGCAAGGGACCTGGGAGGCACCATGGGAAGATATCTTTCATGCACTTAAACAAACATTTTTAAATTCCAAGTGAGCAAAGCTTAAATCTTTCCTCTTACGTACCATCTGTTGTGCATATGTTTTGTTTCTGTTTTAAGACAAACAAAAAGTCGAGTGAAAGATTGATGTCCATTTTATTTGAGAAAGTATGTATCTTCCTTAACAGTTTTTTTTTAAAGGAGGGAATATGTTACAGCTCTGGGAATGCCATCTATTTCTCAAGACAGTTCCCTTTTCTTTGCAAATCTTGGTTTATTCATTTCATGGATATCAGACTATGATATCTGATTCAGATTTACCCAATAATAAATGTTTAAAGCGGCTTTGCCCAAACTGCAGAAGTGTGTACATCAAGTTTCACAGCCTGCTTGATAAAATTAGCATTAAATTCAAATATATTTGTATAGTTATCAGATGGGGGAAAACATAAGACAACCTTAGTTGCTATAATCTGATTATATAACTCCGATCACACAAAGCGGTTAAATAATTTGATATAGTTTAAAAGGAGTCTGGAATGTCAGTTGCTAACAGGCACACTTACTTCATAGCCTTTTAAAGAAGGGCCAACTAGCACAACAGGTCTCATGGATGGGACAACATCATAAGGAGGCACATGTTCTGTCTGAAAAAAATATGTTTAGTAAACACCACCTCTTTGCAAGAGTACAGCAAGAAAATTTTAGTGGGCATTAAGAGAGAGATTGTGTACTTACCACTTTTTGTTTTTGTTTTGCTGAAAGATAAAAAAGAGAAGATGTTTTTGTTGAATTGCTGCATAGCAGCCATACAAACATGCATTTGCAAAATAATTTGGTGTGGGGAGACATTTAAGTTTAAACCCCTGTATATTTCTGCTGCTGCTTGAGAAATGATTCAGTCTCTGTCTTCAGCTACTCCTTCCTTCCACCGGAATGCAGACTAGAACTTCAGGATAGCTACCTTGTTCCTCACTTCCCATCAATTGTTCAGAAAGTTGTGCCTTTAATATATATCCATTTCCACTTTTGTGGCTGAGAATGGCAATTTTAGATTATTATCCTTATCACTTAGCAAGGCTGAAGAGGTTGAGGTTGGGTATATTAATGGCATCAGAATGGATGCGACTAGAATTCTCCAAGGCTTAGCATACCTATTTCCTTTTATTTCCTACCAAATTATTGATTACGATTCCTCAATATGCTATATTTCAGTAATGTAAAGTCAGGGAGCTCTGGGAAACCATTCAAGAGAGAAATCAAGGGGTGTATAAGCCATTTGTTCACTCTTCATTTAGGCCCAAATAGTTCCTCTCCCCTCAGTAATTCAGCTCTTGAAAGACTTTGACAACAGGTGCTTATCAGGGACCATTATCCCTCAGATGAAATCTCAGAGATAATGAGTAATTGACACGTCTGAAAGACATGTGCAATTGGTGGCACCCACACAAATCAAATCGGTAGATGCTCCATGCTACCTCAGGTCCCCTTCTCTTGCTCTTTCCCAGAATAAGAATACATTAGACATATTTCAAATTACCGCCTTGTGTTCCACCTAAGGCACACTACTAAAAAGGATAATATGTTGAGTAACATACAAAGACGGTAACAGCATCACATGTGTGCAGACATCATAGCTGAGATTTACAGAATCAGAACATTTTGATATAAAATGATATTAATGGGGAGGGACAAGTTTTATTCTTAACTACACAAACAGTAGGATCTATTTGAAAATCCTTCACAGATATTGTACAATTATTTTGAGAGCCAGATCCACACAAATGTGGTTTTTTGTCCATCTAAGAGGCCCACGTGACTCTCATCAGCACAATGCAGATTCGTATTAGAACTATACGTAGGACCTCCCTAATCAAAATTATTTGGGATTTATTTCCTCTGAAAACTTTGAAAGCTTACCAGTGGTAGTGGGTGTAGCTCGAAACGTACCAGACACCATTTCTCCAAGGCTTGAAGATGAATTCCCACTTGACTTCCTATATTATAAAGAACCCCATTAAATATTTGGATCACTGCGAGAATGTTGCCCAACAGGATTTTGGTATTATTTTACATGTGCCTGAAGGGTACAGAGGCCAACAGTGTTTCCTTCCATTCTTAATTTCAGGTAGAGCTGGGTAAAAATCAGTATGGGCAATTACTTGGAACTGACTAAGTGAAAGGTTGTGAGATTTGAGATTATGCACTAAGACAATTGCCCTTATGGTTCAAAGAGGCCTCTGAGGGTTACACTTAGAAGAGCTACCGTATTTTTCGGATTATAAAATGCACCAGAATATAAAACGCACCAAGATTTTGAAGAGGTAAATTTTTTAAAAAAAGTTTTTGCACTTTGCATACCTCCTAAACCCTCTGCATGCCCCATTTTTTTGTGAAAAACAGGACATGCAGAGATTTGGAGAGGCCTGGAAAGTGCTCCTGGGGGCTGGGAGGGCAAAAACAGGGAAAATATGGTCCATTTTTCGCGAAAACGGGCCAGTCTTTTTGCAAAAACAGGGCATGAATAGGCTTTGGGAGGCTTGTAGAGTGCTCCTGAAGGCTGGGTGAGGGAGGGGATTAATGTGCAAAAAAGGGTCATTTTTTGCTCGTTTTTGCCCTCCCCGGGCCCCAGGAGCACTCTACAAGCCTCCCAAAACCTCTGCCCATCCATTTTTGCAAAAGGGAGCGGGATTTCAGGAGGCCAAAAACGTTGTATTCAGTGTAGAAGACACACCCAGATTTTCACCCTCTTTTTTGGGGGGGAAGATGCGTCTTATACACCAAAAAATACGGTATTTTTAAAAAAACCTTGATTTTGTTGGCGGAAGTAATTCGTTTCATTTGGCTCTGATGACTCAGATACAGATGCCTTTGCAAGTGGTGGGAATTATGGTCGTTGCAGTGTTCCATGGTCACATGATCGTTATTTGCATGCTTCACAACCAGCTTCTGACAATCAAGAGTCCACAGAGAAGCTGGAAGGAGAGCTGATATCGCAACGTGCAATCTTGATATTCCAAGATCACAGTCGAATTTCTGCCACTGGACAGTCCATTTGGACCTAAACCGTTCCGCAGAGATGGGTGATTGAGAAGGGCACTTTCTGCTGATCTCAGGGACACCACAAAGTCCTTGAAAGATCCAAGAATAGCCCTTTTTTCCCAGCAACAGAAACACAGGTAATGAACCTGCTGAAGTTGGGATAGCTCCAGAACAGGAAGAAAGCGGAAAGAGAAAGTGTGCCGAATTGGTTTTGAAGAGGCAATTTTTTTAAAAAAAGTAGGTAGGTAGATAGAGGGATATATAGAGAGAAATACAGTAGGTAGGAAGAGAGAGAGTAGGTAGGTAGGTAAATAGATGGATAGATAGAAAAAAAATACAGGTAGGTAGGGAGAGAGAGAGTAGGTAGGTAGGTAGGTAGGTAGGTAGGTAGGTAGAGAGAGAGAGAGAGAGAGAGAGAGAGTAGATAGGTAGGTAGGTAGATGGAGAGAGAGAGAGAGAGAGAATACAGTAGGTAGGTAGGGAGAGAGAGAGTAGGTAGGTAGATAGAGGGATATATAGAGAGAAATACAGTAGGTAGGAAGAGAGAGAGTAGGTAGGTAGGTAAATAGATGGATAGATAGAAAAAAAATACAGGTAGGTAGGGAGAGAGAGAGTAGGTAGGTAGGTAGGTAGGTAGGTAGGTAGGTAGGTAGGTAGGTAGAGGGATAGAGAGAGAAATACAGTAGGTAGGTAGGGAGAGAGAGGGAGAGTAGGTAGATAAATAGAGGGATAGAGAGAGAGAAAAATACAGTAGGTAGGAAGAGAGAGAGAGAGTAGGTAGGTAGGTAGATAGAGGGATAGAGAGAGAAATACAGTAGGTAGGTAGGTAGGGAGAGAGAGAGTAGGTAGGTAGATAGGTGGATAGAGGGAGGGAGAGAGAAACACAGTAGGTAGGTAGGGAGAGAGAGAGAGAGAATACATAGGGAGGGAGGGAGATGTTTCCAGGTGTATTTATCCATGTGCTGGAGAAGGAAATCAACCTGCAGCACCTAAGACTTATTTCTGGTGGCACAGCACTTGATCAATGTAATTCTCATCAATCACTCTAACTAAAGAGCTTTCCGAAAGGGGGAAAAAAACTTTTTGCACTCTGCAAACCTCCCAAAACCGGCCCGTTTTTCACAAAAACGGGGCAGTTTTTTTTTCAAATAAAAGGCATGAATAGCCGGGGGGGCTTGCAGAGTGCTCCGGGGGGGGGGGCAAAATGAGCAAAAAACAGCCCATTTTTCACGAAAATGGGCCCATTTTTTGTCAGAAAAATTGCATGCATTGCCTTATGCAGGGTTATAGAGTGCTGCTGGGGGCTGGGGGAAATGGCCCATTTTTTGCTCATTTCTGCCCTCTCCAACCCCCAAGAGCTCTCTGAAACCTCTGTAAGGGTATGCACAGCCATTTTTGTGAAGGGGGGGGGGCTTCAGGAGGCAAAAAATGCTGTATTTGATGTATAAGACACACCCAGATTTTCAGCCTCTTTTTTGAGGGAAAAAAGATGCATCTTATACTCCGAAAAATATGTTATACATAAGCAAATGAATGCAATTAAGGATTTCTGTAAATTTCTGATTTGGGTTTAAATTTGTAACTTTATTTTTAACCAATAGCATGAAATAAAAATATTAGAAGAGTAGTTACATCCCCCATTCACTCAGAATAACTATTTTCAAAATTAGGAAGATATATAATCTAGCCCCATATTTATTTATTTTTAAAGGATAGAGTCTGGAAGCAAAAACTATTGGTTGTAACAAATCTAAAAGCATCTACTACCAGTGGTAGGGGAGTAGGTGTTTTGAACTGCCAAACAGAAAACATAGAGGCTGATAAAACAAATACACATTTCAAAGTGCAGATTAAACAGAACTGAAGTCAACCTTTTGGCTCATTGCCAATTACTCTTCTGATGATTACTACTGATGCCCAATTTCAAAGCACTTGTGCTCTTAAGGTTTTTCTTCTTTAAAAAAAAATCTTTAAGCTAGTTTGGTCTGGCAGAACATCAAATTCAGGATGCTTTGAAATAAGCATGATTCTTCTGGCAATGCTTCAATCAGATGATAGCTCTCCATAATCTAGGGCATATGGCTACTGAAATCTTTTATCAGTCATGGACTGATGACAATACCTGAACTTTATTCATTTTTAGGATGTTTCTAAGCTTTAATCTTAATGAAAGAAATAGAAACATGAATCTAAGGATGAATATGTAGGCATGTAAATAGAATGCCAAAAAGGCAGAGCAATTGCATGCACAATCAAAACTATCAAAACTAGACTACTAAAGCTGGTGTGTTCCAGATGTCACTGAATTCCCATCTAGGACAACAATATTCACTATATTGGCCAGAAATTTTGAGACCAGTCAAGTCCATTGACTGGTGGCACAAATTCAGGAACAGTGATCTAATCCTTTACAAAGTCCCAATTTTGTTAGTCCCAATTTGAATAGTTTCTCATCTGTCAGAAAACAAATGTCACATTTTGAGAGATTACAAGTATTGGGCAAATCACTGAAAAGCTGGATTCAGTTAATATTAAAAAAGACAGTTTTGATGAAGCCAGTATATTTATCTTACCCTCCGTGAAAACGTCCTCTCTTCTGTTCTTGCTGGATCCGAATATTCTCCAACCTTAAAGGGCTTGGGATGAAGCCAATCTCACAGCCTTCTTTAACCAATCTTCCTATCCACCAGTCATTGTTATATTTCTGTAACAAAGGAAATATTTGTCTCTGTCTTTCCTTTGCCCTTCTTTCCACCTAACTTAGCATGCCTTGTCCTGTTCTCTCTTCACATTATTACATCCCTTCGCACCATAATTGATTCCTGTATAACCTCTACAATATTTTAAATCAAAGCTGTAGCTTTGTTACTGAACTGTAACCTTTAATTTGAAGATGTGAGAAATGATTAAATAATATAGGGAGTAATAAATTAACTATCTTAATAGGCATTTAAGTTTATGTAATTATGTTACCGTGGACTTTCCAAATATAATTTAAAATATCTCAGATTTAGTTTTGGTTCTAGCCCCATCACTTTAAAGAAAGAATCCCCTCTTGGTTCAATTCAAAGCTCAGGTGAGTCTCCTTAACTAACATTACTTTCACACTGGTGCTCTCCATAGAATGTCTCCTGAGAAGTGGACAGCGTTGCCTTGGATATCTCAAATGAAGTTAGCCAAATTCCCTGCTCCAATGACTTTTTAAAAACACTTTTATTTAGAAAAAATAAAATAAATGGGAAGACGGCGTTCTGGAAAATGGAAGCGCCAACTTCAAAATCTTTATTTTACAAGAATGTATATGGCTCCCATGTAAACCTTGCAAGCTTTCCTAGAAAATAAAAGTTTTGGATAGTTGCAGCCATCTGATGGGGGAAATATATGGGTGTTTTATGAATGGTCATACTCACCATGGGATTTCATGAATAGGGAGGTAAGTCATAGGGGCAGGCATTTGGTGAAAGTGGCATAGCACCCTCAAAAACGACACATTCGCCCTCAAAGGCTGCCAATCTCTGAGCTGTATTTACGTTGATGTTATGCTACTGACAACAGAATTTTCTACAAATCCTTACTTGATCAAAATATGCAAGCATGCATTTATGGCAGAACCAAATTATGACCCTACTTTAGTGGTTTTCCTCTAGAGTTCTTTTCTCTCCATTTGCCAATATCTCAGTGCTACAATTTTGTATCCTCCTTTCCCATTTCTCCCACTGGTAGAAGTGAATTCATACTGAAGAATGTGTATCCCAATGAATATATAAAGCACAGGCTTTTTGTGCCTCTATTGAGCAGCTCAAGACAATGATGAGGTAGCTAAGAAGGAGAAAAGCAAAAGGCAAAGCGAGACCTGTGAGGTTCACCACAGACGCAAGTTCAAGAGCTGTTATATTAGAAACACTTCATACATTTATTAATTGTGAGAGTTTAGGAGGATGTATCAGGGGAACTACCAGATTTCTATTGACTGTTTTGTTAAAAAGTCTGCTCTATTTACAAAGTTGATTTAATTGGATGTTAATGAATACCAATGTTTATTTCATTAAAAGCACTTTCCTTTATGTTTTTCAAAGCATGTATTCATTCCTTCATTTCTTCAAGTATATCAGCCACCCAACTCCAATGATCTCTGGCCAGTATACATAACCAAAAAAAACCCCATAAAAATAAATATAGATGCACATGGCAGTATACAAAGAAGAGATCTATCTTCTTTCTATTGGTAACTGAGCATGAGAGGTTTATGCATTGCAATAAATGTTGCCACATAGTCTGTTTAAAAGTATATAATATATTATCTAATGGATGATGAATGAGACATCTTAAATATGCAGTTATCCATTCTTGCTGACATTTTAGCTTGCTACCAAAGTCACTTTGCTTGATGTCTGAACTATACACAATTAAGGGTGTCTGATTTCTAAGGACTTATGATCCAAAATACACACATGCATACAGCCTCCAGAAACTGCTAATTGACAGAGGCAGAAACTTATCAAATTGTTTTTCCATCATCTTGTTCAGGGGAAGGGAGGGGGTCTGAGTGTGTGATATAGTTGCACATTGTTCTAATACATAATTTCCAAGCTCAGTGTCAAACACCAAGGAGAGTATAATTTATGTCTTATTAAAAAACAATTATATGTACCATAAGGCACTGTGTTTCTGCTATAAGAGCCCAGTTAAATACTGCCAAGAACCAGCATGGAGGATGAGGGGAGATAAAAGGGTAGAGGCTCTCTTAAGTGTGTACCTTATTTACCTCTCATCCCAATTGCATGATTCCTCTGGTTATTTGCAATAAATGCTCTTTGTCCATAACAATTAGAAATTATCATAAAGTTGTAATCATAACCTAATCCTCTTGATCCTCATTTAAAAGTTAGTTCAATAAAAAAAATTATTGAAAATATATTTTTATTTCAGAAAACTAATTTGCATAGCTCCACTTTGGAAATAGATTTTGCCCTGAGAGTTTTTTCATTCCAGATTTCTCCACTGAACAAAATAAAACATACCCAGATTTCATTTTAGGATTGGACCTGAACATTGGCATCTAAGGCAAAGACTCTGTACATTCTGTTTTACCATAACTACCATTCAACTTAATGGTACTCCCAAATAATAATTGATTTTGTAATGTTGCAGTTTGTAATTATTAAAATTAGTCTTGCATGAAATAATGAGAAAAGGTTGGCATGAGATTGAATCATTTCTACCTAGTAAGGAATGGAAGATATATAACTAAAATAACCAAACCACTTACAAAATATATGTTCTGGTATTCGTTGACTATTAAAAGAGAGATGGCATTGAAGGCTTATTTATACGCTACCTTTATGTCTTTTACAAATATGAAATGCAAAGGTAGGGTTTTTATAAGCAAGGCACAAATAAAACCATTTAGAAGCCCTAAGGGCTCCTAAATATTCACTAAGGAAATCCAGTAGTGCAAGAGCCTATGTTTTGTTGTTGTTGTTGTTGTTTGTTATTCAAGGCATAATGGATGAGGTCAAACCCCAATTGGCTTCACTGAGGCTTCTCTGGCTTCAAACGTCATGTTCTGAAATATACAACCTCTAAGTAGGGGTCTCCCACCTTGGCAACTTTACGACTTGTGGATTTCAACTCCCAGAATTCTTCAGCCAGCATGCGCTAGCACAAGTCCTAAAGTTGCCAAGGTGGGAGACCCCTGCTCTAAGCTGTTTGAAATGTCACTCAAGATCAGCGGCTCCTAATAAAACAGTCTTTCATCCAGCCTTTTCCAAAGCAAAGCTACTGAGATAGATTGGTTTCAACTCCCATAATTTCAGGCATGCATTTCTAAAAAGGCCATGGGACTGAAAATTAGGAAAGTTGAAAGTGGACACTCCTGGAGAACAACAAGATTGGGCTAGTCTTTTCTAAACGAGTGCCATGCTGTGTAAAAAACTGGTTGTTTTTCCACTTCGTTTTCTACCCTGCAGAGCCAAACCTTGTTCCAGGGGGACGGGGGGGGGGGTAGGGGGGAAGAGAGAAGAGAAGAGTATTTGGTTATATGATTTACCTCTTTAATGTGTAGGAAATCCTTGGCATCAAAAGAAATGGCAGTGCTTGGTACTGGAACATCCTCGTCTAGCGCTCCGCAGTAGCTGACATTAGTCTTTACAGCAAATGCTACAGGCTTGGACTAGGAAAGAAATACAGTTTCTAATTATAAAAAATAAGGTAAGGGGGGGAAAGGGAGATAAGGAATTGGTTAAAATAAAATAAATACTAAAATGACTTAATACTAAATAAAAGAACTGAAACAAATAAAAAAAAATCAACAGCTCATTATCACCGTCTCAAGAAACATACCGCATAGGAGCCGGAAAGAGAAACGGCCAGTCAACCTTTGTTCATGCCTTAAAATTCAGCCTGAGAATGGCAGCTTAGGACATGACCATTTTTATAACTACAGAACAGTTCTCTGAAGGTTTGGTTTCTTCAGTATTATATTCTTTTCTTAGGACAAATGTGTATTATTATGCACAACGATCATTCAGATGATCATTGAACACTACGTGACAATTAGATAGGTCTCAAATACATGTTTACATTCATTATTTTCTAATTTCTAAACCCTACCTGGCTGAATTCACACAAAATAAGCTGGGATTTTTTTAAAAAAAATAATACATGATGCTCAAGCTAGAACGACCCACTTCACATATCACACTAAGCTAAAAGCAAACACCGCATTCTAGATTAACACGACATGTGAAACCAGACATACTTTCAGAGATTATGTTGTTTATTTGCAATCAAGGTGTCTGATTTAGGACAGGAGTGGGTTTCAGTCGGCGTTACTGCCGGTTCGTTCGTGCATGCTGGATGCCCGCGCTGGATGTGTGCTGAACGCACAAGCGCAATTCAATGGAGATTGTTCTACGCATGTGCAGAACTAAAAAAAATGTCGGCAGCAGTGGCAGCGACCAGGGAACAGGTTCAGGGGCATGGCCAGCCTGGGTCACTGTTGGTTCTACGACCGAGGCTGTCATACCACTACTGGTTCGGCCAAACCGGTAGGAATCCACCTCTGGTTTAGGGAAATTTATGCAGGGTCCAGATAACAAAGTATTTTATTTACAATCAGTCCATTTCTCCTGCTGCTTCTTTTTTTTCTGCCTGAAAATTAGGTGTGTTGGAAAGTGCCCTATTTAATAGTCAGAAGGAGGAAATTGGGGAACTGAACCATGGAAAAAGATCGTGGAGAATCATTAATTGTAGCAGCAGAATGAGTTACATTTCATCATCATCTTAAACTACAATAATTTCTGAATCCAGCAAATCTTCAGTGATTGCTAAACTCGTTACATTTCATCACCATATAAACTATTAAATCACTAAAAAAAAAAACAGTTTCTTTTTCTATTGTTACTAAGATAGTTCTAGTTGATGCTATCTTTTGAAAGTGTCATTTAAAAATAACAAAAATATATAGATGAAGCAAAAGCAGTTCGTATAGATGCCAGGTATGAAATTTCTTGGCAAAACATACCTGATATCTGTGATCCTCCTCAGGGAAAAAACACAGATATTAAACATCTGAATTGGGGAGGGGGGATGACGACTTTGCAACTTTGTTTTTTCCCTTGCACAATGTGTAAAGACCTCTATCTTGAATTAATTTAATGGGATCCTATTACAGGAAAAATGATATGCAAATTGCAAAATTACATTTAGGTAACTTTTCATTTGCTTATTAGTAACAATAGCAGTAGTACTTAGACTTACATACCGCTTCACAGTGCTTTTACAGCCCTCTCTAAGCGTTTTACAGAGTCAGCATATTGCCCCCAACAATCTGGGGCTCATTTTACCCACTTCAGAAGGATGGAAGGCTGAATTAACCAGGCTGAGCCTGGTGAGATTCAAACTGCCAAACTGTTGGCAGCCAGTGATCAGCAGAAGTAGCTGCAATACTGCACTCTAATCACTGTCATACCACAGCTCTTAGTGACTTGGTTTCCCTTACATATCTCAGTAATTCTGGGTCTCTGATGACATGCCTTTTGATACCTTCTCTGCTTTCTTTAATTACTCTTCAACAGTTTAGTTCCAAATTCGCATTTTTTTCCTGAAAAATGCTATCCAATCAGAATTACTAGCAATTGCTAGGAATAAAAGCTTATGCCTGTTCTGGTTCATTTAATTCATCTGCTGTTTAAATTAAAGAGAGTCATCTGCATTTCTCTGTTAATTAGTCTGGGGAAAAAACCCTCTATAGGTGGATTTTAATATCTGACAAATGCCAATCTATTACAGCATCTGTCCATCTGAAGAGATGCTGTGTTATAGAATCCAGTGTGGAAAATGTGCCCAATGGGGAAACATGAATATCCTCCTTACCAGTCAAGAAGTTCACTGCAGCTCCAAATTCAGCAAATTACCCTCCTTACTCTATAACAGCTTGTCTTTTATGAGATCCATCAAGAGCTGCTATTGCAAGATGAGCAGCCATATAAATAGATTAAAACAAATGAATAAATAGTTCCACATTGCCATAAAATTTCACAGCTCAGGATAAACACTGTCATCTTTGTCTGAAGGGCTCCAACTATCTTTCAGCTGAGACACGTGTTTTTCTTTTCATGCCTTCCTTGCTGCCTGCTCTGGCTGTACTTTTTCAAAACGGAGTTCCCCGAACGCAATGACAAGATGTGTTAGCAATATATCCACAGACATTTTGGAGAGCTGATTAGATTTGAAAATTGAAAATTGGCTTGAACTGGCTTGAAAAGGGCTTTTTTGAAACTGGTTTTTCAATCTAGTTCAAGCCAGTTTCCAATTTTCAAAGCTAATCAGCCCTCCAAAATGTCTGTGGATATATTGGTCAGCATTATCTTTATTTCTAAATTCACGCTATAATGTTCCTTCAGACTGATAGACAGCTGCTAATCCAGTATTTTATTTGCAAGTATGTCTGCTTGCTGAAGATGACACAAAGGTATGTAAATATGGATTACGATTTTACACACACACAGACACACAGACACACACACACACACACCAGTGGTGGGAACCGACAGGTATGCCCTGGTACAGGCATACCAGTGCCTGCTGGGGACACCAGGTACCGTTCCAGTACGGTACTCCGGAGGGCCCACCCGCCAACCCGCCAACCCGCCCGCCTGGGTATTTGAGCCGATTGGGGCTTCCGCGCATGCACAAGGAGCGTACAGCGCCTGTGTGACGCTCCACTGAGCAGTTGGAGTGTTGTGGAGCGCTGCACGCATGCATGTGGCGGATGCCCGGCCCCGTTGCACCGTACCGGTTGCACCAGGATCCAGAACCCACCACTGATACACATACACACACACACACACATACACACATTCTGGAAGAAGACTGTGGTAATCTTTAATTATACCTTTGCCCAGAATGTGTCTTTATAAGGCATCAGGAATTGAACTTGACTCAAAGGAGATAATCTGCTTTTAATGTCCTCCTTCCCATCAGTTTATAGATTAGCAATGCTTTCCCGTCAGCAGTCACTTACAGGAACTCACTCACAATATCTAATTCTATCCAATTCCCTAAACATTTTCCACTTTCCACTGAAAATAGTCCTTTTTTTTCTTAGCAGCCCAACTCCAATGTTTTCCTATGCTCTTGTGTGTGCCTACATACTTTTAAACATTTTCCAGCTTAATACTTTTTTTAGCTTTCTCAATTCTTGCAAACATATATATAAACATTCAAGCTTAATAATAATGCCCATCCTCTGAGCTGAGCTAATGAAAGTGCCTTTGTGAGTTATATATAGCTATTTCCCAGATTAGTGAAGCATCATTGCATCAATCTGCTCTCCGCTTACCTCATGCCAGTAAAAAAATATATATCTTGGCTCGTAAATGTAACCACCTACACATGAGAGTCTGTATATATGTATGAACAGAGAACATCTAACAACAATACCAAGAACATTCTGTAAAGAGGGCAACGAGTGCTGCAGAAATGTTAGAGAGCTCAGGCAAGAAGTCTTCTGGTGACTAAATTAATCTTTAGAGAGATCTTTAGATAGGTTGGGCAATTCTTAAGAATTTTCATGGGGAACATGAACTTTTAAATATGAAATATCTGAGGAATGCTTGTTTTAATAAACAAAAACACCTCTCCACTCAACTTCAGCAGCTAGATTAAGTTAGACGACTTTAGGGTAAGGTGTGATGTAACAGAAGATCTGAGGCGGAGGGAATGGCTTGAAGAATAGGAGGAACAGCCCTACCAAGGCAATAGTCAGAGGAGCCTGTCTTGAGTCTATTCCAAGAAACTAATTTGAGAAATCACTTCAGACAAGCCCTCTCTACTTGACATGAAGATAAAGGGAGAGAGGAAGAAGCACATTCAGATTTGCAAGACTGTTACTATAACTGTTCCAAAACCAGTAGTTTTAGACATACGTAAATGTCATCGATTTCTTGGCCTGATCTATCTTACAGGGCAGATAGAAGATAGTGTGAGTTCCAGGGGGCCTTTTAATTATAATGCCTGTTCACAAATATGAACAGATGAAGGAGAGATAGACAGCATCACAAAAATCACTCATTTAAAAGGTAATTATGCTGAAAAATAACCCACCCACCCATTCCAGAAAATTACTGAAGCTGTGGCTGGATTTCCCCATGGCATAATTTTTCTCTCTCTTTTGAAATCTAAAAATGGGATGGGGGAGTAAATAAATAAAAGGAAGGAGAGAAGAGGAACAAACGAGAGGGAGGGAGATACCTTTGCTCTTTCAAGCTGAATAGCTGCTTGCTGTTCTCTCTCTTGGCGGATGGCTTCCCTGTCCTCTTCCAGAGATACATCAGAATCTGATGGTCTGCTTGTGTATGAATCTGCTGATCCCTGAAAAGAGAGGAAGATTATTAACAAAATGATGGATAGAATGCATAAAGAAGCCAAAAATGGAGGAAAAATTATCCAAGGTCAGGCATTTATTTTAACTGCCTTTCAAAGTTATATTTTATTTATGAAGTTGGCCTTTTTCTTCTTACTGACCGAATAACGCATTAACAGTCATTTCCTTCTCTCTCTTTTTTTTCTTCTGAGATAAGCTCAAGCACAGAAAATACTTTTTTAAAAAAAACAGAGGCTATTTTTGTTCAAATGTCATTCTAAATGTATTCTAAAAACTTTCAATGTATTCTATAAAAGTAAGGGACACGGCGCGGCAACTTATCGTAGGCAGAGCTCAGATACTGTAAGTCATGATTTATGCTCTTCCAACTTTATGCAAAGAGACACAAAAATAGCAGCTACTATTTTCATGCCCGTACTTGGCAAGCAATCTGACATATGTGAAAAATCAGCTTAAGCAACAGTTCCTGGAACAGATCCTCTTGTTTAACCTAGGGGCTGCTCGAGTAAGGTTCAGAAGTTGTTCAATAGATGGCAATAGAGATTATTCTCCATGGAAAGATCACAGGATTCAATCAAAATGTAGCACAACTCAATAAAATCCACTCCTCTTGATAAACTGTACGCTGGTGTACACATTTTTGACAAGCATCCTGATCTTATGCAAATATTTGATTTTATCAGTGAATAAGTTTAGAATTGCGGTTCAAACTGGGCCTCCCAATGACTTCATGTTATTCCACAATTACATCAACAAATATCACACAGTAAGATAATCAGTACTAGAATACATATTGTGAGAACATATGAACTTGCCTTTTTTATAACCAAGGAATGGGCCTCCTGGGCCTGTGGGGCTTTAATGTGGCCCATGCACCCTTAAGAAACATTCTTTTTCCTCTGATATTTTCCCCTTTCTCCAAGCCCCCTCTATTGCTAACAAGCGTGTGTAGCAGAGGTGGGTTTCTACCGGTTCAGCCCAGTTCGGCCAAGTAGGTAGTAACTCGGCCTGCCATGCCCCCCCAAAATGGTTCTCTCGGCATAGGTGCTGCCATCTTGTTTTTTTAGTAATTTTTAGTACTACGCATGCGTGCATAGTGCGCATCAAGCGTGCACACAGCGCATCCCTGAGCAAACTGGCAGTAGCAGCAGCCGTAACCCACCCCTGGTGTGTGGATTTCTTCCACCTGCATCAGTCAGGGGAAACAACACAGTAATTAAGGACAGGCTGACATTCCCCCTGCACCCTACAGCCTTCACTTAGGATGGCCTCTTTAGAAAGGAGGGCATGGGAAGGAGGCGGCAGTGGTGGCTATGCCTCTTAGCAAACCTGGCCAGGAGAAAAGCATGACTTCCTGATGCGAAGAAATGTAGAACACCACCCCTAAGTGAGTGGCAGGAACAAGGATGTGTTCTTGCAATCTGCCAAGGGAGCTCTGCTATTTGGGGCTGATGTGAAGGTTCTGCATCCTCCACAGGGTTCTCCATCCTGGATGCTCCCTTGTCTGTCACCCTAATGGTCTTCATATCTTTGCTGGGTTCATCTACGTGCTTTTCTATGATCCCGTCAGAGGTGGGTTGCTGCCGGTTCGACCCAGTTCAGCGGAACCGGTAGTGGAATTCAGGCCTGGGTCGCAGAACCACCAGGCCTGTCACGCCCCCAAACCGGTTTCCTCACTGCTTCTTGGCCCCAAGTGTAAGAAGCACTTACACTTGGATGTAAGTGACTTACATCCAAGTGTAAGAAGCACTTACACTTGGATGTAAGTGACTTACACTTGCGCAGTTCACTGTAAATATTTCTGCGCATGCACGCAGAACAATTTACATTGAACTGTGCAGGTTGTGTGCAGGTTGCGAACTGGCAGTAACACCAGCAGCAACCCACCCCTGGACCTCATCCATCTATGAGAAAGGTGAGGTTTTAATTTAACTCTTGACTCAAAACCACATGCTTTCTCTTTAATGATAAATTGGAAAATACCAAACGATACTTGCTTATTTTCACTGTGGCGAAATCATGCTTTAAATTTCCCTTCCATAAAATTTTGATCTAAATTTTCAGGGAACCGAATGCTCTTATGAGAAGGGGACTTGTGCCAAATTGAAGACCAGCAACTTTTTATTTCTTTGTGAAGTTTCAAGATGATTCAGCTCAATATTTTATTTCAGCTCAATATGTTATGCTGTTATTCATATTAAATTTGTGTTGGGTAATGAAAACCCCTTGGATAGATAAGTGGCTAAAATGACATGCTGAAGAAGCAGCTTCGTTTTGCATTTTTTTTTTAAAAAAATGGTATATTTATATGATGGCAAACCATGATACATTTAATGAACTTTTGAATCACTGGAGACTTTTGTATCAGGCCCATGAGACAATCCCTGGTTTTAGAGTTGAAATTACTGAGGATTGAAGAATCTCTGACTCTCACACTGAACCTATTTTACATGCATGAGAAAGATGCTAGAAATCTTCAAGACCAGGATCAAGCAGATATAGTGGCTCTGTGACTTGAAAAGATGGGAGAAGAGACCTGGATTTAAGCCTGGAGACTGACTAACTAGAGAACAAGATTCCAGGGTGCTGTTAGCTTCTTCTAGTATGGCTTCCTAATTTCTCTGCAATAAATTAACTTATCAAACATTCTCAAGTCTGCTTAAGAATGCAGAGTGGGGAGAGAGTTCAATCACCATGACTGCTTCAAAACATCAAAATGCACTTCCTTTGTTATCATTATCATATTAAGCAAAGGTTTTTTTTATTGGTTTTACTTCTGCTGCATATTTAATGGTATGGTGCCTTCTCTGTTTCTGTGACATTTATCTGCTATTTTAGCTGATGCTGATTTATCTATTCTTTTACTTGTATTGATTTTATTCTCTCATGGAGTATCACCATTGAGTGCTGCTGAGGAACTCATACATTTTTGAAACAAATAAACCCCATTCATTGGGACCAGCTCAGTTGTTGTTGTTGTTGTGTGGCAAAATGGGAATCTCTAATTCAGTCTCATCTACATTGATTGATTCTGGCTCTTTTAAGTTTCAAATTTTTGAGGACTGAACATGAGACTTTTTCTTTGAACTTGCAATTCAGTCATATTTTCTAACTTTCCTCACTAATTTAAGGGTTTATTGGAACAAATGCCATTTTATAGATACAATAAAGATGATATTGCCTTGTAACACAAAAAATCTTGTTTGTATATTGCAAGGCATAATACGTAGAAGGAACAAATTAATGTTGATTAAATCTAAAAGTTTGAAAGAGAAATTTCAGCATCTTCAACATCTGAGTTGCAGCTTATCAAACAGTAGTAATCTTAACATAAGATATCACTATGCACTACTAGAACAGTGTTTTGACTTGGGCTTCAGAAATTTATGTCTAGCAGAACTCTCAAATTGAGAATTTTGTCCAAATTGGTTCCAAAGATAGCAGCTGATTAATTAATGTCCATAAAGCATTTGGAAAATGTAAAGGCCCAACTACTTTACCACCTATTCTCACTAGCAGCCAAAATAAAAATTACAACTTGGACATATTAAATAAAATGGCTTTATAAATACTTATGATATATAGTGGGAGAATGTTGGCTTGGTTCCTAGCTATTATTATGTACACAACAATGTATCAAGTACATATAGGAAGATCCATAACCTCCAGACAATTACTCCGAGGGAGGGGGAGAGGGAAAGGGAGAGAGAGATTGTCATTCTTAATGCAAAAGAGGCAATAAAGCAAAGTTATAGACTAGAGCAGTGATGGCGAACCTATGGCACGCGTGCCACAGGTGGCACGGTGAGCCATTTGTCAGGGCACACGAGGCGCTGCCCTTTCAGCTGGCCAGCACACATGTGCACGCTGGCCAGCTGAGTTCACCTTTTTTTAAAGTCATTTCCGTCCTCCCCAGGTGCCAGAGGCTTTATAGGAGGCCCTCTGGAGGCTTCATGAGCTTCCCTGAAGCCTCCGGAACGCAAAAAACCAGCCCTACGGGCAAACCGGAAATTCAGGAACGGACTTCCGGTTTGCTCGGAGGGTCATTTTGACTGCGCCAAATGCTTCAGGGAAGCCTCCTGAAGGTCCCTGAAGCCTCCGGAGGGCTTCCAGGGGGGAGGGGGAGGCTGTTTTCGCCCTCCCCAGGCTCCCATAAAGTCTCTGGAGCCTGGGGAGGGCGAAAAATGCATGCAAAAAAATGAGGGTTGCACCTGTAGTGTGCACATGCGCACTGGGGGGGTTGTCGCACATTGCATTATGGGTCCACACATGACCCCTCCTGCGCTCCCCTCACCTATGGCACGCGAGCCAAAAAAGATTCACCATCGCTGGACTAGAGCTTCCAGTCCAGTTATGGAGTCAAATGAGATTGCCTGTGATTCAGCTTTTTCTTTGATATAAAACAATCTATGAAGCAACATTGTTTCATTCTGTGTTTCTATTTTCATAGGCACCACAATGCTACTAAAGGTATTTTCACTTTTTTTTTTTTAGGAATGATCAGCAGCACCCTATGTGGCATTTATCAAATCCAAGGATCTCAAGTTTTATCCTGATCAGATTCTTTATGCAAGAAAAATTTATGATGTCTTTAAAATCTTGCCTGAGTTATTTCAACCCAGTACCATAAATGTGTTTTTCCTTGACGTTTTATCAGTATTTTAATTCATCAAATGTGGAGTTTGAATATTGGTAGCATCCTAAAGAAAGTATATAGAACACTCTACTAAATTGTGACTGATATAATACACTACTCTTTTTAATCCCCTAAAATTAATAAATTATCGATCTAAAAGCAACAAATTCATTTTTTTTTTCCGTGTAAAATATTTTATTCAATTTTCACATTCCATTTGCAATCATTTATATACAGGGTATTTACTATAAGAAAAGAAAAA